ATAATAATGTAAATTATCTACTAGTCCAACGCTCCCATAGAGAAAGCAAAAAAGACCTTATGAATATCTCAAACAGAGATGGTGATTAACCATCACGTAGCCTTCAGCGTAGCAAGCCGCTATTGCGCACTACACTCGAACTTCTTTTCCATCGATTATTGCTTTAGCTCCCACATAAAAAGCTATTTTCCCTTCTTTGCGCGCAGCATCGATTTGCGGCCACAGTTTGTTACGAGCCTCCTTATCTTTTGTCGTCAGGTCTTCCCCAAACCGCAACTTCCTCGAGTTCAAATATTCCGATCCTCTGGCGTTCTTCCAAATGAGATCTCTTGTTGATCTAGCTACGAACCTGATGATGACTGGTCGAATCTTCTCCACACTCTTTCTGCCAACCCTGTGGCTGACGTCAATGTGCTGTTGACAGGCTTCCTCATTTTCCGGGATGACAGAGCGGCAAATTTCAACCACCCGGATTTTAACATCCTCGCCTTCCTGTTCAGCCAGTCCATACAGCCTCAAGTTCCATCGTCTTTGGTACCTTTCCGTATCATTGAGCTTGTCCTCCAGTTCAGCTATCCGTTTCTGGTGATCTTCACCCATCATTTTCATATTGGAGATGACTGCCTTTACATCCTTCAATTCTTGAAAAAGAAATTCTGTAGCCTCCTTCAAAGAATTCACACACTCTCGATTTTGCTGTATTTCTTGATTGAGAACAGCTGTATTCTGAGTCATCTTCTCCACTAATATCTTGACGATATTATCTTGTACCTCCCCGAGTGTGGGTTCAGGCCGACTTCTCTTAGAATCTGGGGTGCAAGGCTCAGATTCGGGCAGGGGTATAAGACAATCATCACCTTTCCGTGCATATGAGTGCATGGTTGTCTGATCAGGAGAATCCTTTGAGCGCCCAGACGCGGTTTTATCTTTGCTCTTTGCAGGCCTTTTCTCCGCCATTGCGTAAAGGAATGTATCAAATACAAAACAATTTAAGAAAAACTCGAAGCGTAAGATCGTTTCCTCGCTATGTCTCACAAATTAAGACTTCACACCATTAAACTATGAACGTTATTGTTGTTCATACGGCGTAAAAAGAAAGCTAGTTTTTAAGCACAAAAAATGCGTGTGTCTCGCTCGCCATCTTGGCCACGCCCCCCCACACTGATCACAATGATAAGGTTTTTCTCCAGAGTGACGTCGCATATGATAGCGGAGACCTGACAGCTGTATGAAGCTCTTCCCACACTGATGACACGTGTGCGGCTTCTCTCCAGTGTGAATCCTCATGTGTTTGTTCAGGTGGACTTTCATTTTGAATCCATATCCACACTGAGTGCATGTGAACGGTCTTTCTTCAGAGTGACTTTTCAGATGCCTTTTGAGACGTTCAAGTATGCTGAAGGTCTTGCCACACTCCACACAAGCATGACTTTTCACAGAATGGATCTTCTGGTGCTTTGAATATTTTATTCAGAAAATACAACTAATAGGGGGAGACCGGGGACGGTTGTAACACTTTTTTCTTCAGCACCTAAAACAACCTTTTTTCTTTAGCTACACGTCTGAAACTTTTAGGCAAAGTACCCATATTTGTCTACTACAAATGGCAACAATTTAAATTTCTTCAAAATATATCACAGACTTTGTGAGATGATCATGAATACAAGGTGGTCCTTTGTTACAACCTACCCCACTACTGGGGTAGGTTGTAACACATACTGGGGTAGGTTGTAACAGGTAGACAAAATGCACAAAAACTAAGGGTATTCCAAGTGATATGCCACAACAAAATTTTTATTTTAAATGAATGGCTGCAACAATAAAATATGTGTGAATATGGGGGGTGTATGTGCATATTTTGTGTTTGTGCATGTGTAAACAATGGTGACAAGAACAAACAAATGAAATGCATTTTTAAGTCACAATGGTGAAAAAGAACAAAGAAATGAAATGCATTTTAAGTCACAATGGTGACAAGAACAAACAAATGAAATGCATTTTACGTCACAATGGTGACAAGAACAAACAAATGAAATGAATTTTAAGTCACAATGGACTTATACACTAACACAATAACACTTTCAAAACACGTGTTACAACCTACCCCACCACTGTCACAATTGTTTAACTAGCTGTATTAGCATGGTGCTTTGAAATTAGCAGGAGATTGATACATCATTAGAAACTACAGTTTGACCTGATATAACTCATACAACATTATCTACAACGGTAGAAGTACTAAACAAAATATTATCCTGTTATGTTTTTTTACTTTCCTATCTCAGAATTTGATTTTCTGCTGTAGCTTCAGGAGAGATTGCAACAAAGACTTGAAAACCTCAAAAACCTCCGTGTGAGATCGTAAAGGAAGCCTAAGGAAACTGAAACTGTCACATGACTCCTATCTTATCCCTGATTGGTGAAATTGGTAGTGTTACAACTAGCCCCGTGTTACAACCGTCCCCGGTCTCCTACGGTAATGTTAAATGTTAAATCTTACTTTTAAAAAGTAATCCCCGAGTGATGGTCCACCGATTAGAGCAGGAATATGCTGCACAGTGCCTTGGCATCTACTGCTGCTATGCAACGCAAATAGGAGTATGACCGGTTTAAGATGGCGGCCGCATTTCTTGCGCCCAGTGGCCAATAGTGCGTCTAGCTCTATATGATGTCTATGGTCAACTCCACCCAACTGACCTCAGCTCTGGGAGTTGTTTACTTCCTCCACGCTATCCCCTACCTCATCAGCCCACCTATTGGAGGTCAGAGAAGATTTACCCACTCTCTTTTTCACGCTCACAAACACACAGACAGATTCTCATTTTCCAATACATGCCAAGAATCAATCACACAAGTTACTGTAGTTACGGAGTTACTGTTTACACATACAGTTGCTTATTCACTTGTATGTGCCTGCATTATATTTAACTACATCAGAGTGTTTTATGAAATCTCTCTCTCCCTTTCTCTCTCTCAGGTTGGCTAGTGGATCAGACAGGCTCCTACACATCTACATTCTTCCTCAGTGGAGTCTATCTGATCTGCAGTGCTGTGATTCTGGCTGCTGTGAGAGTGATCATACGCTGCACTAGAGGGAGCTCTTGCTTAAACTGACTCACAACCAGGTAGGAGATTTCTAATGCAGTAGAAAAGGACAGTAATTTTGCTGTCAAGAAACATGAAAGTGCCTCCTCTGGAATTAAACAGGTTTATATGAGAGGTTTTTTTTGTTTCTGATCCAAAGCTCTCATCCGTCAGATGGACTGCCACAAACACATGCTCAAACACACGGCTCTACTGCCAAAATACAGGATTTTATTAAGAATTTGGTGATTTAAAGGAGACGTTTTCTGTGATACTTTTATGAGTTTGCCAAAAAAGAAAGTGTTTCATATTTCATTTGATATTTTAATGTGTCTCTCAAGCTGATATCTGATTGGCTGGTCAGACAAATGAAATGATGTCCTTTGCCCAGTAGTTATGTATACTGTTTTATTCACAGCTCAAAGTATTTATAATGTACACTACAATTCAAATGTCTGGAGTCTGTAAGATTTTAATGTTTTTGAAAGAAGCCTCAAATGCTCACCTATTTGTTGAAAACAGTTGTACAGTTTTTTTTTGGAAACTGTGATACAATTTTTTTAGGATTCTTTAATGAATAGAAAGTTTAAAAGAACATCATTGGTTTAGAATTAGAAATCATTTGTAACATTATAAGTGCCTTCACTGTCACTTTTAATCAATTTAATGTTCATGTGCTGAATAATAGTGATCCCAACCTTTTGAATAGTAGTGTATACAGCTACACTCAAAACAAATGTCACCCTATATGTCATAAAAGTGTTATTCATTTTAGTGCTGCTATCAATATGATAGCTCGTGGCCCAGAGGAAATCAAATCTGCTTCTTTTATTTCCACATTTTCTATGCTCATTTTTTTGGGGAAATGTTTTGAATTCTGCAGAATGTTTTATGCAGAATTCTGTTGAATGTTGTAATGTTTTAAATATGCCAAATGTGTTAAATAGAGCTTTCCCAATTCTGCATCAATCAGCAGAGCTTTCTTTGGAACTTAGACTCTCATAAAAAAATATGGCTAAATCATTACCAAGGAAACAAGAATAATTTTAGATACTATGTGTAAGCAGGATCAGATAGCCTGTATTTCAAATAAAAGTCATGAACAATACTGTGCCTTTGATAGGAATTATGGGTTTTGACAAGAAGGGAAACAATTTTATTTTATTTTTTTTAATTTTTAGAAAATACATCAAACACCTTGTAAATTCTCAACAATACACATTTATTTGAAAGTGACCTTGTATTTGTGCTGGTTACAGTAAATAACATTCAGTTTGTCACAATGTATCTTCAGCCTTTCCACTGGCAAGCTACAAAGTGCCCTTAAGAAAATGGAAAACAGAAAAATCATGTCTAAAATGCTCTCAACTTGTGAGACACTGTAAGAAAAGGGTTTTCATTATATGTTACTGCACACTGAAAACAAAGTTGCAAAATCAACTGAGCAGGTCAAGTAAATCTTATCAACAAACTAAAAAACTAATCAGAAATGAAAGAGAGACATGTTTATTCTTGTATTTGAAACATGTAGCTACCGTAAGCAACACATCTGTATATCCACATTTCAGAAATGAAAGTCTCAAAGGAAAGCAGTTGCGAACGTTTTTTCTTTCTCAAATGTGAACAATAGTTATAACTAGATGCAATAACTCCAAGAAGTTTTTTTTACTTCAATGAAAACTGAACAGGTATTGGAATCTACAGTCTATTAACACAACAAAATATAACACTGAATACAGTATATTGACTCTAGATTGGGAATTAAGATATTTGTCCCATTTTCATGTTTTTCTGAAATTTTTTCATTATGGTTTTTGCATTGAGTGAATTCATTTAAAGATCCTCCATAATGATTTTTGAGGATTGATGTATGACGGGACATTGTTCATAACTTGTCTGATGCTTTAGAGCACATTTTAATCAGAAGTTTTAATTGCCTCCTCCAGAAAATGCACAATTTCCATACAGCGAGGGTTTTTGCCCCTTTTCATAATGTTTGTAAGGACTTTTATACTCTTTTGTTTGCATTCTGTCATTACTGGGATTTCTGCTGCTTTCATGTAAAAGGAGACTGACTCTCTGGATTGTGATCTATTATGATTTAGATGTTGGCCATAACTATAAAATAAGTGCTGTTGTCTATGAGGAGAAAGATAATTTTCCTCTGACAGGAGATTCTTGTAAATCTCATCTGCCTTCTCAAATTCGTGTGTGTAACAATGCAGTGATGCAAGGTTTATCTTTACTTTGTATGAGTGAGGGTAATATCTAAGATCCTCCTCAAAGAGCTTAATGGATTTCCTAGCCAAAGTCTCCCTTTCCTCGCTGTCTTCCATGCTGTAAATCTTCCATTTGTAGCTGTCTGCCAATTGTTTCAACGCTTTAACTGAAGAGGGGAACTTTTCATGAGCTGTCTCTGCTACTCGAATAGATTTATCTAAAGAATCCTGTTCTCTATAATACCTGAGAATAACTTGCAAACACTCCAGGTTTCCAGTTTCAAGAGTTCTTTCTAGTAAACCTTGCATGTCCATTTCAATGGACACATTTGTCTGTTTGCACAGTTTTAGTAAATAATGAGAATGAAAGAACAAACTATTTGGTTCTTTTTCATGTGCAATTTTCAGTTGCTCTACAATCTCATCTAGAGTGAATTCAGGCGGTACAAATTCTATGTTCATGGCTATGGCAAGTCCTTTGTGCCATTCCTTCCTATCTGGTTCTGCATTTAGAGCCATCTTAAAGTAATCAATCGCCTCGCGCTTCTTGGACTTGTTAAACTTCACCAACGTCCAGGCCTTTTCTCCGCTGACTTCAGGGTGTAAAGTGCATTCAGGTGGAGCAGGATGCATTCGCTGAAGCCTCTCCACCTCTTCTAGATATCCTTTGCTTTTATCCATCTCTCCCAAATGGAAGTAGACCCAAGCCAGGTTTGCTTTGTTGACCTGAAGCTGGACTCCTGTTCCCTGCTCCTGGATCACACTTTCTGCTTTGTGCAGGTGCTTCACTGCCTCTGTGTTGGAGCCAAGAGTCTGATGAGTGTAGCCTAGCAGGTTGTAATAGTGAACTGGCCAAGTGCACGTTTCCTGGTCCATATAATTCAGCTTGCTCAGAAAATCCTGGAGTTCATTTGTACTGCACTCCAGATGCCAGGTGAAGTGGCACTCCAGCCTCTCAAGACGTCGTTTCAGACTAGAATTACTGACACATTCAGAAAAAAAAGATCAATTAATGAGGAGTTACAAATGCTGTGTTTTGGATTACATACAAAAATATCATAGCAGTCATGGGACAGATCATCAACAGTTTCAACTAAGCCACAACACTTTTATACAATCTTGAGTTTAGTCTGGTAAATCACTTTAAATGCCTACATTAGACTATTTCATATTTGTATTGGGAAAGTACTTACTCCATAATAATGGTTAGTGGTGGTCTGGTTTGAGATGTTCCTTCTAGCAATGCTGATTTGAGCTTCGTGTGAGTTGCTGAGAGATTGTTCTGTATTTATAATGATCACGCTCATAAAACCATATTCTTATCTACCTGAAGTCGTTAAACACGCCAGCTCCTGGTTGTTCTATAGTTTCTATTCTGTCTAAGGTTTCGTTTTTTTACTTCAATGAAGTGTAGTTTACGTAATGACACAGTGATAAAGTCCAGAGCCTGCCGCCTTCCTCAAGAATAAACTCTTTAGATGCAGGTTTTAAGTGTCATGTATAATTATTATATTCCAGAAATTTTTTATTCATTTGATATTGTGGCATGACCTACTTAATTTCTAGCTGGCTGTTCAGATGGTTGAATTGATTTGCATATTTACCATATTATATAACAAATTTGGTAACACTTTACAATAAACATGAACTAACATTAACAATGACCAATACATTTGTTACAGTGTTTATTATACGATGTGTTAATGTTAGTTCAAATAAAGCTGCCCATTTTTAGTTCATGTTAGTTCCATTAAATAATATGAACAAATACAACTTTTGATTTAAATAATGTATTCATAAATGTTGATATTGACTAAGATTAATGAATGGTTTAGATGTATTTTTTATTGTTAGTTCATTTCAATTACTGAAGTTAACTAATGATAACAAATCCAATCTTATTGTAAAGTGTTACCAACAAATTTATATTCAGTTTCGTTCTCATTATGTGCTGCTGTTTACAAAGTCAATTCCCCTTTTTAAAAACATTTTATTATTTCCAGCTGATTCTGCAGCTCTTTCTCTCTTCGTCAGATTCAGTGTGTATTTAAAGTCAGTTACCGGTAACTCTTTCCTTGATAAACAGAAACTGGAAACTGTAATTATTGAATAACTTTGTCACAAGTTCCATTTAACAAGTGCTTTTATTACAGGCAATAGGATGGAAAACTGCTGCAGTTTTACAGTGAGACATGTGCTTGGGTAGAGATAACTCCCTTTGATAGTTAATCTGGCAATATAGGGGAATCTATCTTGTACTTCATAGTGCGCTAGTTAAATGTCTTAAATACAGGAGGTGAATAAAGGTGAAGTGTGACACTTTTTGATAATTTGTCAATGCCCTTGTTATAAAATATGGTAACTCCCCCATATAAAATGCCATTTTTAAATGTTCTTAAAAAAAGATCTTCACTACACTTTACAGAAAAAAAGAAAGAATTATTAAATATAAATTCTTACAGATAAAATTGTACATGGGCCACTACTGTCAAAATACTATTAATGCGAAATGTAAAGCCACAACATTAACATACCTATGAAAAAAAACAATGTTACCTTTTTTCTTGCTATTGGTATTGTAAGAATAGCTGTTATATATCATGCAAAAATTAATACATAAAAAATATATAACATATTAAGGAATCATATTTTATGATGCATTTACAATACACAAATACATTTCCAGCTTTATTTAAGCTGTGGTCACATTTGGTGAAATTTCACGGTCAAAAGTCTATGTCAAATAGTGTAGAGATGTATGAAGCACAGTTCGTACAGAAGTCTTATTCAAACCAAGACAGAGAATCCACATGACCAACTTGAACCCATTGTGAAATCTGACCAAATTAAACCTATTGCAAATTCTTTTGATCATGGATTCTTATTGAAATGACTGGATTTCCCCCGTGAAAATTCACCACACAATGGTAAATGTGAGGCATCTTTACACTTAATGCTTAACACCTATTGAGACATTGGATCTAGGTTAAGTGATTTTTCTATTGCTATACATAAAGAAAACACAAATACAACACACTGCACTTGGATGAATAAATATAAAAAAATAAGACAATAAATGGTGGTGGGGGCCCACATCAATATTTTTTCAGGGGGCCCTGAATCCTCTAGCTACGGCCCTGCATGTGTGTGTGACTTCACACCAGTTTCTTGTTTTAATGGCTCATGAAAATGAGTGCTGAAAATAACAGCTTTGAATTCCGATCAGAAGTGCGTTTTACACTTGTTTTTTCAATGTGTATCTGGAACATATCTGATTCCGGATACAGGTCGCATGTTAATACCAAGTGTAAACGCAGCCTTTGAAGGTCTCGATATCTTCATCAAAAACAATGACTTTTTTTTCTGGAATGTAGTGGTATAAAAAGTCGGATTTTAGCCTATGCTTTGGAATGCAGTGAAACTAACAAGACATATTTTTCATTCCAGAGTCATTTGGTTCTCATTTAACTGTAGCCTATCATCTGTAACTAAGTTTTGCCCCGTTCTGCAGGAGCGTAACACAAATATTTAACCAGCTAGTACAATTAGAGATATCAGACTGTAGTTCATGAAAATTGGCAGCAGGTGAAGACAAAATCCAACTTTTCAAGATCCATCACTACAACAATTTTTTTGCAGACTAAAGGTTAAATTTTTCGACATTTAATCTGTTTACTTGTTACAGTGATTGTACCACAAAATATTCAGCCATAGAGCATCTTACAAAGCTTGTGACCAATATTTGCAGATTTTGAGATTATCACAATCAAACTTAATCCAAATTAATGCCTTTTAATATAATATTTTTGATAGTATGTCATAATTTCCGTTTTTTATTTCATGATTAGGACTAGTAAGCATGTCAAAATTATGATTTACCAGAGCATGATATTTTTTTCTTATGTGGCAGAAATGGGCTTTCATAGTTTTTTTTTAATTAAATGAAACTCAGATAACAGTGGTTTGCATTTCATGCATCTAAGAACATCTAAGAACTTTGTCAAATGGTTTATAAACTCCTTCTGCAAAATTCTCCATATTGTAAAAATAATAATAGGCCTAATACAATTAATTAATTAATCTGCATCTTAAAGATGAGAAAAATGTAGACTCTGCATATACTTCTTATAGTTAAGAAGAGTATTTAGAGTAAAGAAACATTTAAACAATCCAAAATATTTGAAATTTCCGACCTTTTCAACAGCATTGATTGTTTCAATATTTATTGATAGAAATGCTGTGCATGTTTATAGAAATTAATACCAGTACCAAAAAATACAGAATTATTAGCTCTAAAAGGATTTTAAGCTAATTGCCCTATTCTGAGCAAATGTATAGAAAGGGTGCTTGCATATCTCACACTTTTTGAGGACAGATAGACATCAGTCAGTTTATACAGAGAACAAAGGAGAACCGAGGACACACAATTAACATTATTGAATATGGTCACAAAACACCTTCAACTAATGCTTCAGTTCAGCTTTTAATTCCATTAAGATTCATATTTTATTACAGTGCCTTGCTGACATGGATAAAAATGTAACCGTATGGATTATGGATTTTTTTTAATCAAATAGGTCACAGAGAGTTTTGCTTAAAGCAACACCAAGTAAATATTCCTCTGCGGTCGCCCTACAGGTTGGAAGTGGAATTGTCCATTACCGCTGTCGTAAATAATTTAGCCTTCCGCAGCCTACTGTCACACGCGCACGCTCGCTGTTTATCCAGCACCGGCTTTGGTATCAACAATGGCAGACATCCCAACCTGCAAAAAGTCATTTCAGGGAGGTATATCTTGGTGACTGGATTGTTGACGGGGGGGGCGGGTTGACTAGCTTTCGTGAGTAGGGTTGGGTACCGAAACTCGGTGCCAATAGGGAACCGGTTCCGACGTAAACGGTAGTAACCAGACCGAATAAGAACGAAAATTTCGGTGCCTGATTTCGGTGCCTAACTTCATTAGGCACACACACACACACAAGGTCTCTCGCTCGCTCTCTCTCCGCCGTGCGTGTGCTACACAGTTTGGACCACAGTCTCTTCTGTCTCGCAAGCGCGCTCTTTCTCGCAAGGTTTGGCTGCATTTCACGTGTAAAATTACGTGTCAGAACGCCCTCTGGGTGTGCCGATAGTCTGAATCCCATATAGAATCAAGCCAATTCATTGGCTAATGGCGCGGGCGCCGCATCGACGCACTTACGTCGTCATATGTTGGCGCGCGCGCGCCATCTGCTCCTCAGATTTCTCTGCCGAAAAAGGAAGCTGGTCGGCAGCGCGAGGAGCTTGGCAGCGTCCCGTTCCCTATTGAGAGAACATAGGTTACACCAGTAACCAGAGATGTTCTCTTTCATAGGTTCACTCAAAGAAGCAGTGGATTTGTAGGCTGCTGTATCACGTGCCGTTTGAACTGACGCGCTACAGCGATCTGTCACATTTCAAAGAGCCAAAACGTTATTTATTGTGTGAATCTCGTAAAAATATTGACAGAATCTGACAGCTGTGGATTTGTTCCCTATCAAAAGTAACCTTCTCTGTCTTGTCTGTCCGTGTCCTCTTTGTCCGCGATTTTTCTGTGTGAAAAGGGTCATTTGCGTGAGTCTCACGGTCAATGCGTGAGAGTTGGCAGCTCTGCCTGCTAGTAATCTCTATTAATCTCCAGTATTATTACATTGTTTGATACAATATTGTTTCATTTGATATTATGTAAATATGAATTTGTATTTTATATTGGTTTTATTATTACCATATGTTACTTGTATTTATATTGTTTAAAGATTTAAGTTAATATTGTGTCCAGTTTGGCCCTGTAAATTAAAGGGTATTATTTTTTGATAAAGTGTGTGCGGTTTCATTTTCTTAAGTACCGATTTAAGAACCGTTTAAGCACCGGAACCGCTTAAAAAATACCGAGTAGGTACTGGAATCGGATAAAACCCAAACGATACCCAACCCTATTCGTGAGGCACACTCGCAAGGTCTCTCGCTCTCTCCCTCTCTGCCGTGCTCGCGCTATGTATGTTATGCGCGCAGTATGTTTTGTCTCGCATGCGCGCTCTAGATTCCGGGAGAATTGAACTAATTTTCGGGCATCAGGGAGATGCTATCAATATGCGGGAGACTCCCGGGAGACTTGGGATGTCTGCAATGGCCACAGACAATTTGAGGAAGTGGTGGGGGAAGTGACGTATGCCGTAAAGCAGTCGAATTTTGTAGTTCTTTTTGTGCACGGGTTCCTACCCAAA